ATCGTTTTACTTTCAACCTATTTGTGTCTGAGTCTAAAGTGTATTTCTTGTAGACAGCATATTGTTGGATCGTGATTTTTTTTTTAATCCATTCTGCCAGTCTCTGCCTTATGATTACAGTGTTTAGTCCATTTATGTTTCATATAATAACTGTGGAGGTAGGGTTTATGCCTGCTATTCACTTCCTGTACATCTTATGTTGCTTTTGTCTGTCTGTTCCTCCATTATTGCCTTCTTTTGTTTTATTCATTCATCATTGATGAACATTTAGGTTGCTTCTACCTCCCGGCTGTTGTGAATAATGCTGCAGTAAACATGGACGTTTAATCTCTTTGATTCTGTTTTCAGTTCTTTATATTTACTTTATGCAGTTACTTTTACCAGTGCTCTTCATTTCTTGATGGGGATTTGAATTTCTGTCTAGTGTATTTCAGTCTGAAGGACTTTTCTAGTCTAATTTCTTGTAGGGAAGGTTTGCTAGTATTGAATCCTGTGTTTTTGTTTACCTGGGATTAATTTAATTTCTCTTCATTTTTGAGGGATAGTTTTGCTGGATATAGAACTCTTGGTTGATAGACTTTTCTTTCAGCATTTTGAATCTGTCATCCCACTACACTCTGGCCTTCATGGTTTCTGATGAGTAGTCAGCTGTTAATCTTTTTGAAGATCCCTTTTTCTGGATCACTTTTTTCTTGCTGCTTTCAGTATTGTCTTTCCAGTTTATTATGTTTTGGGGTGTGGATCTCTTAAATTTATCCTGCTTAGATTTAGCTTCCTGGGTGTGCAGATTAATGTTTTCTTTCAAATCTGGGACGTGTTTGGCCATTATTTAAGTATTTTTTGTTACCCCTGTTTTTTTTCTGCCTTTCCTACAATTCCCATTAAGTGTATGTTGGTATGCTTTATGTTGTCCCACAGTTCTCTGATGCTGCTCATTTTTCTTTACTTTCTGTTCCTCAGTTTATAATTTCAACTGACCTTTAAGTTTACCGATTTTTCTGCTATTTCAAATCTGCTATTGAGTCCCTCTAGGGAATTTTAAATTTCAGATATTGTACTTTTCAACTCCAGAATTAAAAAAAAAAGTTTGACTCTTTATTGATATTTGGTGAGACACTGTTGACATACTTGCTTTAATACCTTAAACATGGTTTCTATAGCATGGGGAGGTGGGTGGGGGGGGACAGCTGAGCAGGGAACCCGACTCAGGGCTTGATCTCAGGACCCTGAGATTGTGGCCTGAACCGAAATCAAGCATTGGTTGGTTAACTGACTGAGCCACCCAGGCGCCCCAATTTCTTTCCTTTTTAAAAAATTTTAAAGTAATCTCCACACCCAGTGTGTGGCTTGAACTCACAACCTTGAGAGTCACATGCTGTACTTGCTGAGCCAGCCAGGCGCCTCTGGGTCGTACTTTCTCTGATTGTTTCATGATTTTTGTTGAAAATGGGACATTTAAAGTAACATTATATGCCAATTCTGGAAATCAGATTTCCCAGCTACCTCAGAAACTGTTGTTGTTAGTTTGGTCACTTTCTGGGACTAATTCTGTGAAGTCTGTATTCTTTGTCATGCATAGTCACTTAATTGTGTATTGGGGGGTAAGTTTTCAGTGCTCTGGCAGGTGGTCTACTTTAGCCTTTACTTCCTGCTTGCTCAAAGCCTCAAGGTCAGGGGCACCTGGGTGGCTCAGTCAGTTAAGTATCTGTCTTCAGCTCAGGTCATGATCGCAGGTCCTGGGATCAAGTTCTGCATAGGGCTCCCTGCTCGGTGGGGAGCCCGCTTCTCCTCCCTGTCTGCTGCTCCCCCTGCTTGAGCTTGCTCTCTGTCAAGTAAATAAAATCTTAAAAAAAAAAAAAAAAAGACTCAAGGTCAACCAGAGGTTACCTTAGTGCCTTCTAAGGTCTTTCCTAGGCATGTGATAACCTTGTACATAGTCATGGCCTTCTGGGTCACCAAGAATGTGTGTTTTTAATTCCCTAGGTTTTTTTTCTTCCTTTTTTTTAAAGTCTTTTGGTCAGCCTCTTGTTAGCCCCACTTGTTATCACCTCAGGTAGCTGTGATTTTAAATTGCTCCTGATTGTTTTTTTTGACAGATGCCCCCAGGATGGGCTGTTTGTACAGATCAAGCTCTGAATCAGGTCAAGTTGAGACAAGCCCCAAGGATAGAGCTTTTCAGAGAGCTGTCAGATAGGCCAAATAGTGGCACTTTGGAGGAGCTCCAAACCTGTCTTATCCTCTCGTGGCTGCCAGGTTGTAAGTTTCACAGGTATTATAGTTGCAAGACTGCTGGTTTTGAAGGCTACCTTGCTGGTCTGAGGGGAATGGGAATAGGGCAAGTTAACATGCCACAGGGCTCATTGTTTGTACTGAGATTGAGCCATTTCTCTTGAAAAAGTACTCCTGGGACTTTGGCAAGTCTGGTTTATTTCCAGAGTTTTGAAAAAGTTGATTTTTGCCAGTGTTCTCATTGCTTTTATGTAGATTTTCTGAGGTCCTTACTCCACCCTTCCAGAAGTGTTTCATCTCTCACCCCCCCAACCCCCACCCAATACTTTTTTTCTGACTATGCCTCTTCCTGCTCTCCGGGATCTGTTTAAACTGCACAGGCCTCATTGTTCTTTGAACACACCAGGCATGCTTCTGTCATGAGGCTATTGCACCACTCTTTTATTGAAATATTTTCTCCCCTGGATGCTGCAGTTCTCACCTCCCTCAGGTCTTTGCTCAGATGTTACCTTCTTAGGCTTTCCTTGACCACTCTACTTATTTTGGGGGACCATCTTAGAGTTGCAACTCTACCAACTCTAAGCCTTCTCAGTCTTTCTTTTTGATTTGCTTTCTCCTTAACATTTATCATTCTCTAAACTGTTACATAATTTATTCACATTAAGTTTTTTACTACCTGTTTCCCCAACTAGAACACAGGATCCATTAGGCATTTTTTCTCTGTTGTGTTGACCTTTGCATCTTTAGCACCTAGAATACCTGGCTCAAAGTTAATGCTTCATAAATATTTATTGAATGAGTAAATGTTAAGGGTTATACAAATGTAGTTTAAAAAGAAGAAAAAAAGGCTGTAAAGCAGTCTGATTAGCAGAAATTACACATCTAACTTTTTAGTAAATATGTGTTCTAATGCAACTAGTATTGTAAAACAGTTACAGTGTTCAATGATTACATGGTCTCTGTTGTCTCACACCTAGGAGGCTTGATGGAGTGGGGTTGGGTCCCAGGCAGGAGGCGGCAGGGAGTAATTTCTTTATGATATTATATGTATTATTTAATTGGCTGTTTTGTCTTGCTGACCATTAGCCAAAGGTCATTCTTCATTTTATGAGATAGTCTATTTTCTAAAGAACTCCGTGTTTTCATCCTCTACTTTTTCCAACTTCCTAGGGACTAGAAACCAATTGATAAGGTTGGAAGAAGTTATTTTAGTTTTTGGGCACGGATATCAGTTTCTCTGGCAAAAATGTATTCAATGTTTTGTATACTACACTGTTAGACAGTAGGTAATATTGAAATGGATGGGACATTGTCTCCTGCTCAAAAAATTTACAACTTTGAGAGAAGAAAGTTGATGTAAGATAGAGATCTTTCTTTGGTACTTATTTCTTCCTTTGTTTCGTGTACTTATCTGTGTTTGTGCCTTATTATCTGTCCCCACCTGTAGGCTCCTTGAGGGAAAGGAATCATCTTTCTCATTTTTGTATCACTTGCAACTTGAAAAATTACATCTTGAATTACTGTGTGGACGTCTATGAGGTTCAAGAAAATGTTAGGTGGTATTTTCTAAAAATTAAGTAATAGTTGAGCAAGACTTTGCAGAGGAGGTGGGGTTAAGCCCAAAGTGTATTCTAGTTGGAGAAGAGCTAGTGCAGTGTTGGGGAGCAATATGCAGAGCATATTTAGAGATCAGTGAATGGGTCAGGTGTGTTCAAGTGGATGGTGTGAGTGTGTGTGTGTGGTTGAGGGTAGAGGGGGCAGCTTGTGTTTGAACCTTCTACTTGTCATGTGACTTTTAGACAAGTCCTTTTACTTGTGTCTCTATCTGCAGTTAGAGCAAAAGAGTTAGACTTGATGAGTTTGGCTCTAAAATCCATTCTTTTAAGGTCAGGAGTTTATTTAGTAAGCAGGTTGTTTTTTGATAAGTCAATAATGACTAAAGATGGGGGTGCCTGGGTGGCTCAGTCGTTAAGCATCTGCCTTCGGCTCAGGTCATGATCCCAGGGTCCTGGGATTGAGCCCCGCATCGGGCTCCCTGCTCCACGGGAGGCCTGCTTTTCCCTCTCCCACTCCCTCTGCTTGTGTTCCTGCTCTCGCTCTCTGTCAAATAAATAAATAAAATATTAAAAAAAATGACTAAAGATGTATTTTAGAACTTCTGGGAGATTCATAAATGTTTCAAAGAAAAGAAACTGGAATCAGGTAGATCAGTTACTCATCTTAGTAGTTTGAATATAAATCCCGAGTTAAGATCAAGGAAATGAGAATGAAGTAACAAGAGAGATGTTGGGAAGACAGACTGGTAAGGTTTTCTTCTTGGGTGGGAGAACCAGAAAGAAGTGAAAATATTTAAGTTTGAAATTGAGTGAACTGAGGGTGACATGTGCGATGTTAGGAGTGAACTAACATCCCAATCTACCTTTTGGTTGGGATAGGGAGTGGGTGGAGAGGATCAAGCCTGGTGGAAAGATTAATTTTAGACATGTCTAACTGCTGCTGCAAGAAAAAAAGGTGAATGAGAACAAGACCTAGGACATACCCACTTCTTTAAAGGTGCTCCCAGTGACCTTATTAATGCAGAAGAGTATATAAAGGACAGTGTACTACCTGAGGAGGTAGGGGTGGGGATAAGAGCTTCTGGGATACCTGGGGAAGATAGTGACTGAGGTGCATCTTACGTGATAGGTAGAAAATCATTAGAAGGAAATATGCTAATTCCCTTCCCCTTATCTTGTTCGGTGTTTAATGGCCACTTCTCTGTTTTTCAAAAGGATCTACCGTTACCAGTCTCACGACTACGCCTTCAGCAGTGTAGAAAAGTTACTACATTCTCTAGGAGGGGACGAATTCCTTGGAATGCTTAACCGAACACTACTTGAAACCTTGCAGAAAGCAGGCTTCTCTGAGAAATTCCTCAGTGAAATTGTTGCACCTGTCATGAGGGTCAATTATGGCCAAAGCATGAACGTCAATGGCTTTGTGGGTAAGCCAAGGCTTGGAAGTTATAGACATTAATTAGTTCACAGAGGGGGCTTACCTGATACTGTGGTGGCTAACTTCAGGCCATGAGTTGGAGAAGACTTACCTTTCTCTGAAACCTCAGACATGGTTGGCAAAATTGTGTATAAGTAGATCTGTGCATTTTTAGTGGGGAGAGAGTCCTTAGCTTTCATTGCGATTTTTGCCCCCAGGGGCTTTTTGGCAATGTCTTGGAGCAAAACTCACCTAAATTGGGAAGAGAGTGGGTCGAGGGCCTTTTACAGAGTCAAAATTAAAACACATTTTTTCCTACCACTGACAGGGGCAGTATCATTGTCCTCTGCTGATTCTGGCCTTTGGGCAGTAGAAGGTGGCAATAAACTTGTTTGCTCAGGGCTCCTTCAGGCATCCAAAAGCAACCTTGTATCTGGCTCAGTAATGTACATAGAGGAGAAAACAAGGACCAAGCATACAGGTGAGCCTGAAATTCTATTGTTCCTAATTTACCCTCTAGAAAATAATTGCTCAGGGAGAAAAACCACTCTTCTGTCATCTCTCAGTTCCAAATGATGGAATTATAAATTGTGTATGTTGCACCACATGTAAATATTCCCATATGTGCTCAAGTACAGTGACACATCTCCTTGGATTTAAAAATCTCATTCTTAAAAGTATAATTCCGTATTTTGTAGTTACTGATAAAGTATCATTTCTATTCCAGTGGAAAACTGCCTGAATTTGGCACAGTTATATTAGAGGGTAAAACTCTTTTTAATTCCTTAGAATTATCTTTTAACTATTTTATACTTTATAAACTGCTATGGTAATAAAATTATTTTTGGAAGGTATATAGAAGAGTATGCTAGAAACACTAAAACGTATGCTTCTTTCTTCTAGGAAATCCCACAAAGATGTATGAAGTGATCTACCAAATTGGATCTGAGACCCGTTCAGACTTCTATGACATCGTCTTGGTGGCCACTCCGTTGAATCGAAAAATGTCCAATATAACTTTCCTCAACTTTGATCCTCCAATTGAGGAATTCCATCAGTACTACCAACATATAGTGACAACTTTAATTAAGGGGCAATTGAATTCAACTCTTTTTAGCTCTAGGGCCTTAGACAAATTCGATCTTAGTACAATCTTAACTACTGATAATTCAGATTTGTTCATTAACAGCATTGGGATTGTGTCCTCTGTAACAGAGAGTGATAATCCTCAACCATTAACAGATAGGGGATATGTTTGGAAGATCTTTTCCCAAGAAATTCTCACTAAAGAACAAATATTAAAGCTCTTTTTGTCCTATGATTATGCTGTGAAGCAGCCATGGCTTGCATATCCTCATTATAAGCCTCCAGAGAAATGCCCCTCCATCATACTCCACGATAGACTTTACTACCTCAATGGCATAGAGTGTGCAGCAAGTGCCATGGAAATGAGTGCCATTGCTGCCCACAATGCTGCTCTTCTTGCTTATCACCGCTGGAATGGGCACACAGACATGATTGACCAAGAGGACTTATATGAGAAACTTAAAACTGAACTATGAAATGATCACTTTTTCCCCCTTCTGGTTCCAAAGGAAGTATCACTGGCAAAGAACACAATCTGAGCAGAGATGATTTTGAATCAGATATTTTGCCGTAAATTAGTATTGTTTAACAAAAGTAATCCCAGTGAGTTATGAGAAAATACGTTTCTAATTAAGTGTGACAGTGTTAACTACTGCATTTATGCCATCTCCAGAATTTAACTCTTCTCTTAATATCCATCAGCAGTATAGAATCACCTGGAGTTTGTTAAACGTGTGGGTTCTCTAGCTCCTCTGGAGATTCTGATTCACTAGGTCTAGGGGATGGGGGGGCCTTGGATTTTGAACAAAACTTTAGAGCATTTTAAGCTGAGCACTTGAAGAGTTTAAAGACAAATTTTAGTGGGGGACTAGTTCACTTGTGCTTCACAGCTGGAAGTGACCTTCAGTCAGACAGTTATAACTACTATGGGAACTAGTATCATAATGTCTGGCTTTATTAATTTATATCCTTTTTCAAAGTAGATGTGCCCATGCCAGAAGCCTTGACTTTCTGAATGTTCTTTTGACTGCTTCTGTCTTGATTTTATTAGGGGTGAAATTCAGAAGCCTTAGTAGTTTAACTTTGTCCCACAAAAATCTCAAGCAAAATGAAAGCAAATACAGGCTATTAAGAAATTGGCATTCTATTATCAAATCCTCACCTATGGAGCTCTAAAAAATATTGCTAGACCCCCATGCAACCAGAGATTCTGATTTAGTTGATTGATTGAGGATAGGATCTCAGCATTGTAGCTAAAAAGTTCCTAAGGTGCAATCTGGGTTGAGAATCACTGATACGGGGGTTTAAGATGTCTCCAAAGGATTTTCAGTGCCTTAAAAGTCCCAAAAAACCTAATGCATTATCAAAGCAGATTCATTTTTTGAAGAATTTCTCTCAAGAACTCTAGTAGTAATCTTGATAGTAAGCACTGTCAGTCTGACAACAGAGACAACTTAGATTACTCCAGAACCATTGACACTAGAGTAGGATATTCAGAATGATACCACACTTGATCAAATCCAGCACATGTTCAAACTGTTAAATGCTTCTAAAACTACTGCAACATTTGGGGTTAGAAACTGGTTGCTGAAACCTTGTTTTTAAGGCAGTAGTTCTTAACTTTGGCTGCACATTGGAATAACCTTTAAGATTTTAAAGCTTCTCAAATGATTCTAATATACAGCCAAACTTAAGAACCAGTTCTACATCTACTATATAAAGATTATCATGAATGGTTTTCCTTACAGTCAGTCACTAATAGGACAGAATGAATAAAAGCTTGTGAATTCTACAAGTAACTGTAACAAAGTTTAACATGTACTGTTGGGGAAAAAAAAAAGTCCATCAGATTATGGCAGCAGCTACTTTCACAAGATGGTGTAAGAAAACACTGATCCTTAATTAAAATTTGTCTCTACAATTGTGAATATTAATATGCTGATAAAACTGCCAAAATGTATTTGATGTAAAGGCAGGGATTAAATTTATAGTTTGTCAAAGGGTCAGCTCTTTAAAAATTTTATTCTTAACCAATATGTTAAGAGGCAGTCACATTTTTCGTCATTTTTCTTTTTGTGGTTTTAATGAAGACAGTATTGTAGAGAATGTAATACTGTTATATGTGTGCTAAAGATTGATAAAAATTGGTAATGAAATAGTTAATTCACTCACAGACTTGTTTTGCAATGGGATATATTATTTACTTAGAAGAACACCAATGTACAATGTTGCCACTGTATCAGACCTACTCTGATTAAGTTTTCCAACAGGGCATCTGAAACTGCTTCCTTCAAGAACAAAACAGATTATTAATGTATCAGGCATAATAGTTTTAATGGAAACAGCATTAAATAAGGAATTTTTTTTTTTATTGGAAGAAAAATACTATCAGAGCCTATTAATACTGAAGTAGACTACTCGATTTGTCTTTGTACAGAAGAGACTGGTAAAAATTATGCAGGAGTTGACTGAAAGCCAGTTCTACTCCAGTGGTTCTCCAACTTGAATATGCATCAGAATCACCTGGAGTGCTTCTTAAAAATACTGCTGGGCCTCACCCCAGATTTTGTTTTAGTGGGTCTGGAGTGGTAGATGAAAACAGGCATCTCTATTAATAAAGTTCCTAGGTGATGCTCTTGGTCTAAGAACCGCATTTAGGAGAACCAATTCTGTAATTTAGCTCTACGTGGTTGCAAAAAAATGCCTGTCAACATCAATGAAGATTTAAAGAGCTGCTGGAGAAGGGAATAAAAATGTACTGCACTTGATACCCACTCTCCTTATTGTGATTAAGTTGGTTTGATCCCTCTAGCTATTCTTTGGCTGTAAACACTTTCTATAAAGAGGAAATAACGTTTTAGACATATATATAAGCCATCCATTGTGTTCTGTTTTTCAAGTACCTTAGTCACCTCTGTATACCCCATTCTCTACAGTTTTAAAGTGATTCAAGATTTGTAGGCTTTTTACAAGATCACAAAAAGTACAGGCCTAAGCATTTGCTTGATAGGTTTCTTGAAGTTAGGTTTATGATACCACCATTTGCAATTTATCTTTCATCTGAGTTTGTGTGCCATAAAATTTATGACCTAGGTGAATATGGGGAGGATTATAACTATTCTCTATACTCCACAAAGAACTACAGTACACTGGAATGTTTTTTTCTAGAGTTCTATTCTTGTATTAAAAAATTTTCCTGTTTATGTTCAAAATAAACAACTGTATCATTACTTCCTGTGTTTTACTTCAGTTGCACTATACTTGGAACGTAGATGTACTTGGAAAAAGTACATCAAAACTACAAGAGTTTCGAAAATTGCAGTTAATGTTTCAGAAGAAACCCGCTCAGGTATGCAGATTCTTTCCATTAGAAGATGGAAAAAAGGCATCCTTGCCATGCTTCACATTTAATCAGATTCTTCTATATTAATGCATAAAAGCTTTAGAACAAATCAATCTCAACCAGGAACAATTCATGTTAGAAAAAATTAGAATAAGAGCTAATACTCAATTTTCTACGTTCAGAATGTCTGAGAAAGCATTTTTACTATTATAAAAGTTTATTTAACAAAAAAGTTCAATATGAAAATGCACACGACCTGATTTTTATATTATAGTAAAACAGGTACTATGGAGGGGACATGTGGAAGCAGTTGATTTCTTCTGATGAACACACCCATTGTTTATACTCGCTCCAAGGCTTCTAACATGATGATACTATTTCCTCGTATTACCTAAAAAGAAAATTTGAAAAGAACACAATTTATTTGACAAACATCGATGAAAGAATTTTCACAAATTCATTAATGGGTTTTCAGTATTAAAGATTAGTTTGTGAGGCTTTTTTCAAGCCACAGGGATACTAAGTCTTAATCATGACAAGAAGCCAGGAAGCCCTTTTTAAGTAAGATGTACTTTCTAGATTTAACAAGACTAACAAGTACCCTTTTGAGAATGCTAAGTCTCCAATGATTGATTTCTCACCTTTTAAACTGCAGTACTGAAATAACATACCCATCTCTGTCCCAAGGGATCCATAAGTCAATGGGAAAAATGTACAGTAGAATGTCAGTTTAGGGGTATAAGATCACCTAGGGAACAAACCAGGATGGAAATTGTGAAAAGTATGCTTTGTGAAGATGGCATTTTAGTTGGTCTTGAAAATGGGGTAGAATTTTGACAGGAAGATAGAACTCTAAACAAAATTGAGATGAAAAAGTGTAAGGGGATAAGGAAAGATTCTAATTTGAATGTAGTAAAAGGTTATGATGGGAAGTAGGAAACAGAGTTTGCAGCCAATCTTAGAAGGCCTCAAACACCAGAGTTAAGGTACTCGGAAGACATCATGAAACCAACAATAAGCCAATGAAAGCTTCACAGTCAAGGGAATAACCACTGTTCTGGCAATGTAAGAATGGGAGAGCGCTTAGGGGCAGGAAGAGAAGTTATAAAGAAAAGGCCCTAGGAGCACAGTGCCTAACATAGTAGCCATTCCATAAATGAAGATAAGGAAGGATCCTTATGAGCACAGGTGAAATGGCTGGTAACTGAGTTTAAGATGGGTAGAAAAGTAAGTTAAACTAGAAGGCAAGGGGACTGTGAACATAAGGAACATAAGGAACCCCCGGTGGACTGTAGGTCATACTACAGATCAGGTCAAGTAGAGCAGGAAAGGTGAAAGGACAGGAGGGTGATGAGAGGAAATAGTAGAAATGGAGGCATTCTGAATAAGATTCAAAATAGAACTGTGCTTGTAGGCAACTGGAGTAAAAAAAAAAAAAAACAAAAAACCCCAAACCAAAAAACCCCAAAACATTTTTTCTCCCCTCCATTCTATCTGCTCATTTATTACATATACTGTTTATTTATTGTCTTCCTCACCCAAATGCCATTTTTATGAGGGCAGGTGCAATATCCCCAGTGCCTGAAGTGGTGGCAGGCACACAAAGGGCTCAGTAAGCACCTGTTAAATAAACAAATGACCTTGCATGTTTACTGCAGCTGACAGAAAGGAAAGGAATATGACAGGTGGGACAGTGTCTTGGAGCCTGGCAGAGACAAACAGAAATGAGTATGATGAGAAGGTGGTGAAGAAGAGCAGCATGAAAGGAGAACAATGCCCTGAAGATGATGGGGACTGAAGGAGCCTACAGACTTTTATTCTTTCTCTAAGTTAGGGATGGAAATGAAGAAAGCTAAACAACAGGCTTATCTAGTTCTCAGAGTTTTAATTCCTGGCTTATTTGCAACAGACGGTCAACATCAAATCTCACTGATCAAAGCACGAAAAACTACTAGCCTTCTTTCCTCTCTCTCCCTTAAATGTGTCCATTTCTAACCCTAGAAAGGGGAGGGTGGCAGAGAAGTTATTTCAGATAACTAAGATTTTCAGATCTGAGGATTTTTTGGAGCATTATTAAAAAACAAAATACAACTGTGTCACTTTTATCAACATTTTCTAAAATAGTAGGTATCACACACGTCTTTGCCTTCTCACATAACACATGGAGTAAGGCTAGTGGGTGGACACCTCTGCTGTATAGTAATCTTCCTCCTTTCTCATTGTGTTTAGGCCTAATTCTCCAAATCAAACTGGAACCATCAAGGTCCAGAAATTCCATAGTGCTCCTTTTGTGCTTCAGTGCTAGTTTTTACAAAATGCTGTTCAGGCTTTTAGTCTTTTGAAAGGGCACAGCTATCTAGTAACAAATACAAACCTAAAATGGAACTACAGAACCACAAAGCTGGTAAGAACTCCTGAACTATGCAGCATCTTAATATAGAATTTTTATTACATTCTTAGGGACGCTCTGGGGTGGAATGAAATCTTAAAGGAATAAGAGAGGTGAGGCCACTGACAACTATGGGGATGTTTCAGAAGAGGCTAGCTGAGACATCATTAGGTAATTATCCAGCTAACAGATCCCTAATACAAACTATCTCCCCCTCAGAACACTTTTTTTTTTTTTTTAAGATTTATTTATTTTAGAGAGCACAGGTGGGAGAAGGAGAGGGAGTCTTAAGCAGACTCTGTGCTGAGCATGGAACCCCATGCAGGGCTCAATCTCATGACCCTGAGATCACAACCTGAGCCAAAATCAAGAGCCAGACTTTAACAGACTGCACCTCCCAGGCACCCCAGAACACACACATTCTTAATACTACTCTACACATAACAGCATTAAGTCATTTCAATGGTCCCAGGGGATCACTGACCTGGACAAGGGAATTGCAAAGCCAATGTAACAGTCTCCTTTGCCAAACTTGTGAAAACAAAACCGTAAACCTATTTGTTTTTCTTCCAACCTCAGAAAAAGCATTCTTGCGTTTTCTTTAAAATGTCTTTTTTGGGGCACCTGGGTGGCTCAGTTGGTTAGGCGATTGCCTTCGGCTCAGGTCATGATCCTGGAGTCCTGGGATCGAGTCCCACGTTGAGCTCCCAGCTCAGCGGGGAGCCTGCTTCTTCCTCTGACTCTCTCCCCTCTCATGTTGTTTCTCATTCTCAAATAAATAAATAAAATCTTTAAAAAAAAGTCTTTTTATTGGGGGCACCTAGGTGACTCAGCTGGTTAAGTGTCCGACTCTTGCTTTCAGTTCAGGTCAAGATCTCAGGGTCCTGAGATCAAGCTCTGTGGGAGCTCCACGCTGGGTGTGGAGCCTGCTTAAGATTCTCTCCCTCTCCCTTAGCCTCTTCCCCCTGCTCCCTCTCTCTCTCTCAAAAAAAGTCTTTTTATTAAGGACAATTAATATGTTGTCATTGCTCCGTTTTCTTTTTCTTAAAGATTTATTTAGTAGAAAGAGCAGAAGTGTGCAGGTGGCTGGGCAGAGGGAGAGAAGTAGACTCCCCCTGCTCAGCGGGAAGGCTGATGTGGGGCTTGACCTCATGACCCTGAGATCATGACCTGAGCCAAACACTTAACTGACTGAGCCACCCAGGCGCCCCCCACTATTTCATTTTCAAAGTGTTAACTCAGCTGCAAGAATTACTGCCTACTAATAGAAACTTTTTTTTTTTTGGTCACACGACAAGCATCAGAGGTGGAAGAGCCGTCTGCCTAACACAGTAAGTAGGTGCTCATAACCAATTTCTGTGTAAAGACTAAGCCCATTAAAATTTAGGGGGAAAATTTCAAGAAAGATGCATGATCTACGTTTAATCCCTTCTTGGATAAAATCCCAAGAAGTGTCACACAATTCTCTCAAAAATTATCTTCCCAAATTAGAACTGACTTTTAGATATCAAAGTCCTTCTTCAATCTTTTTGGCAAATCTGTTGAGATATAAACTAAAAACCCAATTACCCCCTCTTAGAATGAAGATTACTGAATTTGTAAAAGGAAAGGCTAGAGAGAAATCTTGGGGGCGTCTGTGGGTTTTTAGAAGAAACTGGCTGATAATGATTTGCCCATAGTTTTATTCATCTTTCAACAGAAGTTCAAGGATAATGTACCTGAAAGGAAGGTCTGTTTGCATAAAACTTGGGGGGTAGGGTGGGAGTCTCATTTCAAGGGATTCTCTAAGCTATTTTTCCAGCCCAGACCATTGATCTGCTTTTCAAATCAAATGCATTTGTAAGAAGCAATAACATACACCTTGGAAAAAGTGATTAAAAATTATGAGGCAAAAAAAAAAAAAAAAAAAATCAAGGCTAATTAGGAACTCTTACCATCTTTTAAAGGTCTTTATGCTCAGTGATTTGCTGAAGCGAAGTTGTCCTTTTTGATTTACTTTTCCCAAGAAACTTGGGACTTACTAACTTACTGGGTATATTGTCCTGTGCTGGACAAAGAGTGGGATTCAAAGCCTGGGTCTTGCTGATAAACATCAAAAACTTTTTCAGTAGTCATACCACCATGGCCTAATGAATGTAGAAATGTTTGCTCCTATAATTAACTCACTGTATTTTTTTCCTATTTTCTTTCATGTGAATGGCTGTCACTAAGATCATCCCTTGCAACTTTTACCTTGGCCACTTTTAAATTTGGGTGCAATAAACCAGAAAATCTGGGTTAATTATATACACAATTAAAATCAAAAAGTATGATGGTAGACTAGCAGATTTGCATCACACAGACACTTGTTAGATAGGATCTACATTTTACTAAGATCTTCTGGGAGCTCATAATCATGTTAAAATTGAGCATAATGAAGGACTATAGGTCTCTATTATAAAGCTCAAAAATGGGGGCGCCTGTGGGTGGCTCAGATGGTTAAGCATCTGCCTTCGGCTCAGGTCATGATCCCAGGGTCATGGGATCGAGTCCCGCATCGGGCTCCCTGCTCAGCGGGGAGCCTGCTTCTCCCTCTCTCTGTCTCTCATGAATAAATAATAAAATCTTTAAAAAAAAAAAATGGGGGCGCCTGGGTGGCTCAGCTGTTGAGCGTCTGCCTTCGGCTCAGGTCATGATCCCAGGGTCCTGGGATCGAGCCCCGCATCGGGCTCCCTGCTCTGTGGGAAGCCTGCTTCTCCCTCCCTCACTCCTCCTGCTTGTGTTCCCTCTCTTGCTGTGTCTCTGTCAAATAAATAAAATCTTAAAAAAAAAAAAAAGGCTCAAAAGTGATTTCCTACAGCTATTTCAAATCCAAGGACTTCAGAGGGTTCTGCATAAGATTCAGACCTGACCTATAGGTAACTAGGATACTATCACAGTTAAATGACTGCCGTATGTTAAACTAAAAGGAAAATGGAAAGTCTAATCTTTGCTGTTATTTACCTAATTTCAATTTAATCCAAGACTTTAATAGAAAGGAAGTTAATCCTTATTTCAAAATATGAAATCTCTAGGAGAAAGCTTCTATCTTTACTTACCACCATTCCAATATTGTTCTGTTGCCCACTAGTTGCCATCTCCACACATTCATCTATCACAAGATTCATAAATGGATCGAACCCCCGCAATATTCCTTGGACATGTCTGCCACCATTTAATTTCACTATAGAAAGGGAAAAAAGTTTAATAAAACTGACCAATAAATATCAACTATTCATTAAAAAATAGGTGGAATTAAATCCAGGTACTTGAGAAATATAATCCTCTACCCTTACTATATGTCAAGCAGTGGGCTAAACATTTCACATTTACTTCCACATTTAAACTTATAAAAATCCAGGTGGGGGGATGGGTGAAATACATGGGATTAAGGAGTGTACTTGTGATGAGCACCAGGTGTTGAACGGAAGTGTTGAATCACTATATTGTACCTGAAACTAATACAACACTGTATGTTAACTATTTTGGAATTAAAAAAAGGTAAATACAAAATTTAACTTACAAAAATCCTATCAAGTAGAATTATTCTAACTTTTCACGAGGGAACTAAAGTACAGAGCTTCTTAAAAAACTGGTTCAAGGTTATACAGGTACTGTGGGCTAGAACCTGGATTCAAAGGGAAGGCTGCTTGCCTCTGAAGCCCAGGTCTTAACCCATATATCCTTCTAGCATTATATAGGTCAGATTTTTAGTCCTGGCCCAAGTCCTTTGTTTTTAAAGGAAAAAATATTGATACATTTTTAACTATCACAAAATAGGAAAATCCCATTAATTTTGTCTAAGTGAGGGAAGGCTTAAAGGAAATAATGAAAAGTCCAAAGTACTGTGCAATTTGTTAAATATCAGAAATTAGGCAAACAGAATTGTCTGGGTAGGATTTTGATAAACCTCCTTAATTAATGGGTGTGAATTAAGAGGTTCTGTGTGATTTAAATTTTTATGAAGTTGCACCAAACATTATATACTGCCAAGACACATGTAGAAAGCAATTAATTAAAAACAAAACAAAAAACACAAGATACTTACATGACAATTTCTTGTCCATAAATCTGAAAAAGCAAAAAGGGGTACAAATTATATAAATGATTTAAAAATTTTAAGCATAAGCACAAAAGTAGGTACAGTCAAGTCAATACGATTTGCTAAAATTGCACAATAAAAATAATGAAATTTAAAATAGTAAAAAACTTGTACTGTTGTAGAGCAGGGAATAATGGGCTACCTCATTTAGCACTTACACAATGTAATTTGGGAAGGGGCAAAATAATAAATAAAAATGGAATGGATTTAAAATATATTAATGCACATCAAACTAAGTCTTTATATGATGTGAATTACCAAAACATTCTTGTTGTTCAATACTGACCTAATGTTTGATGACTAGGTTTTATTATTATTTTTAAAGATTTTATTTAATGGGGTGCCTGGGTGGCTCAGCTGTTAAGCGTCTGCCTTCGGCTCAGGTCGTGATCCCAGGGTCCTAGGATCAAGCCCCGCATTGGGCTCCCTGCTCCGGCGGCAAGCCTGCTTCTCCCTCTCCCAACTCCCCCTGCTTGTGTTCCCTCTCTCACTGTCTGTCTGACAGTGAGAGGGGGAACACAAGCAGGGGGACTGGCAGACAGAGGGAGAAGCAGACTACCTGCCAAGGAAGGAGCCTGATAGGGGACTCAATCACAGGACCCTGGGATCATGACCTGAGCGGAAGGCAGACATTTAACCGACTGAGCCACCCAGGCGTCCCCAGATTTTATTTTATTAAAAAAGATTTTAAAATTATTTTTAAAGTAATCTCTACACCCAACATGAGGCTAACTCACAACCCTGAGATCAAGAGTCATATGCTCCACTGACTTGAGTCTGCCAGGCACCCCTTGATGACTGGATTTTAGAGCCATAACAGAAAAACAAAGATTTGTTTATATTTTGGTTATTATCAAAACCAAAGTTGTGAGGAAACTAGAAGGTAATCAAACCATATCCAATTCAAAAGCTATTTTATTTTATATTTGAGACAATAAGGAGTGTTGTTTTAATATTAAGCATCACACTTGTGTTCAAAATATTTCTCAACACATAAGTATTTTTTTAGCAAAATAAATACATATTTTGAAGCTTTAAAAAATCTGAATTAAACGGAAATCCCATCTCAGCAGGGTATTATGGAAATATTAAGCCATGTAACCAAACCAGTTTTTACCCATTCCAGTTACAGCCTAGAAAATATGAAATTTCATGCAATTTTTAAAAGTTTATTTGAGAGCGTGCGTGCGTGCACAAGTGGGGGAGGGGCAAAGGGAAAGAGTATTAGCAGACTCCATGCTGAGCATGGAGACCGAAAGGGGGCTCCATCTCACCACCCATGAGATCATGACCTGAGCTGAAACCAAGAGTGGGACGCTTAACCGAGTCACCCAGGCGCCCCTGAAATTTCATGCAATTTTAATGTATAACATGTAATGGGAGAATTCGGAGATAAGTAAGACACAGGCCTGGGGCACCTGGGTGGCACCTCGGTTGAACACCTGACTTGGTTTGGCTCAGGTCATGATCTCAGGGTTGTGAGACGGAGCCCCTAAGTAGGGCTCGGTGCTCAGTACGGAGTCTGTTTGTCTCTCTCCCTCTCCCCTCACGTGTGCTAAAATAAATAAATAAAATCTTTAAAAAAAAAAACACAAAAACAAACCAAAAATATGTAGTATGATATATAAAATAATCCATTTTAATAGGATAATTATATACAACACAGCAAATATAACACACATGAACTTATTTAACCCTTATGATGACTTTGTAAGTTATATATTGTTATTACCACCATTTTATAGACGAGGAACTGAGGATCAAAAAGATTAAGTAAATTGTTCAAAAGTCACAGAGGAGGTGAGAAAGTTTGAGCAAACGCAAATGGTTCAGTTTGCCTGGAGAATGCAGGCACTCCATTAGTGTGTGTGGTATTTGGCACTTGTAAGATTTCAGATGGAAGAGCTTAAATGCTGTGTCAAGAAGCCTAGACTTTATCATTTAGACAGTGATAAATTATTAAGGCAAAGTCCAGTCATTGGCAAGACCACTGTGGCAGTGATTTTTAAGAGGCGGGATGGAGAATCTGGGTAGGTTTAGGTATCTCAACCTTGGCGTATTAACATCTGGAGTCACATAATTCTTTGCTGAACGATGTCCAGTGCACTGTACAATGTTTAGCAGCATCCTCAGCTTCTACTTACTAGATCCCTGCCAGTAGAACCAGACTCCCTCCCTCCCAGTTAATAACCATGAGTTAAGCTAAACCAGGAGGAGGGTATAAAGAGTAAAAAATATCTGTGAGAAAGTAAAGGAAAAAAAAAAATCTGAAGGTCATTTTGGAGGCAGGTCTCAAAGGATTTTACAATACATGAAATCTAGAGATGAGAAAAATATTAAAACTAGGTTCGTTCTCTGAAATTCTCAAATATCTGTTAAGAAAAAAAAGAATCTGTTAAGAAACAAAAAAGAAGGTCCAAGATTACAAGTAGACAATGTTCTTTCGTTAAAAAATAATTAGCATTTCACCAGTTCTTTAAGAATCCAGAGGATACTTCTAAGATTTTACCAGCTCATCAATAAAAGAATGTTTTAGATCAGCATTTTCAAAATAATTTCTACTTTTCTTAATGTTAGACTTATGATTAATAATTCTTTAAGGGATCCAACTAAAACACAAAAAATGGCTTTGATACAGATGTATCTTTAAATGTAAAATTATTTTTCCTTAAATATTCATTTTTTTGAGAGAGACCAGTGGGGAGGGGCAGAGGGAGAGACAAACACTAAGCAAGAGCTGAGAGCTCCACATGGGGCTGATCTCACCACCCTGCGATCACAATCTGAGCTGAACCCAAGTGTGCCACCTAAGTGCCCCTAAATGTAAAATTACTAAATACGACCTTTTCTTTAAGTCTGACTTCTCTATGAGGCTGGTAATAAGTGAACTATACACAGGCCAGCTGGCTGATTTGCAAATCGATTCCTGAAATCAATTTTTCATACTTTGTGCTATCCAACTACTGTGTGCAGAATTCTGGCATTACATGGTATAAACGAGACAGACAAATAATTAGGAGGCATCGAACATGTTAAGTTCAGTCAAGAGTGCGGAGGTTAAAGCTTTAAAGTAGGAAAATCCTGTTTTGAGTGGATTTTACTGGGTGCAGAAAAAAAAATCCCTTGTTTTCTCTGATTAAAAAAATGAACGTTCTCAAACAGCTCTGTTAACAGAGCGAGAGATCACATAACATTCAAGTTTAACTTCAGCACAAGAAAGCAAAAGGAATGGGATTTCTAAATCAAAGCTCAAAGAAACAGCTACAACACACTCTAAGATTAAGGGGGCTTTTGACTCATCTACTATTAAACACTTCCATTCCGCCCATCTTCTTAGTTCTTTATAGAATTACTCCCAAGCCACTTTATCTAGAATTTAACGCTATTCAAGAAGTTCAACAAAGGATGGCATTCCAGGATCTCCAAGTAAGGAGAAAGAGCGAGAGGGAGCGCGGTGGGAGACGTGGGGCCGGGAGATGCACCCAGGAAGGCGAGACAGCAGAATAGAGACACCTTTTCTGTCAGTAGTAATCATGCCATGTCAACCAAGCCGAAACGAGACGTCGGCGCGGGCTTTAGGCGCCCAGGCGCGAGACCCTGTCGGGTTCTCGGCGGCCTCGTGCCGGAACACGCACGTCAGGCACACTGCAGGAAATGGAGAGGATCTAAGGAACTCAAAGCACGCAAAGAAGCTGCCACTTGGACGCGGCCCTCTCACATACTTACTTTTTCAACTCGGGAGGGTGAGCTTTGCTCATGGTGTCTACTGCGCGAGCTCAAAGATGCCTCCAAACGGAATTCGTAGCGTCCCACACGCTCCCCCGGTAAGCCCGGCGTTTCGCGTCTGACGTCACCGATCCCGCCAACCAATCAAATGTCGGCTGATTTCACATTTTACCTCGCGATACTTTGGGGGCGCCTGAATTTATCGGTCTCGTGTTTCCGATTGCGTCACCAGCGATTGGCCTAGATAGGGCTAGGGGTGGGGCCAGTCGTCTTCTCAGTTCCGTTTCCTCGTTTATAAAATTGACATAGCAGCTCGGGCTCTTGTTTCTAGGCGAAACCGGTTTGTCCCTTTTTGTGCACTGCCTTGGTTGCCTTCTTCATATATTAAGTGAATATAGGTTCTGGAGTAGTGGGCCTCTAATAGTTCTTTGGCGTGTATTCCCACATATTGTCACGCTAAGCCTAGCGTTCCAGTAACATCAGTGACCTTTGGACACCAGAGAAGTAGGGGGATGTAGCCCGTTTCTAAGAATTTGAATCTAGAGCGCGGAAGTGCATTACCTATTGACAGTCCTCCAATTCTTGTAACACTGCCTCCAGAACCCTACTTGATGTGCCTTGCTCCTATATAAAAAACGTGAACGATCTCTAATGAGATACTCTTGACTTGAAAATCAACTCAAGTGTAAAAAGTGATCTCCGACTTGTTCCCACTTAAGTTACCCAAAAAAGGCGAATACATATGTATGAATAAAATACAAATTGGGATTATAGAAGACTTAGGCCAAAATAGTAAAGCCTTGGTGATTCTAAGTAGGGGACGAGTCTCCATAATTCCATTCATTCCTAATGTTCAGGAATGGCTCTATTTACTAATGATAGTAAAGACTTAAACTCATCACATAGTTTATACTCTCTTGACACTCAAAATCCTAGACGTTGCATTTTCTCAAGAGGGATCATTAATTATCCTTTCATTTTGCTGTTAGTGTTCAGTTGAAGCTAGAGTCCTGAAATGGATACTGAATTTTTTTAGCCTTAGTTTTTTTTTTTTAATGAATGGACTTTTAAGTCATAGCGCTGTAGCCTGCCCTCAGTTCTTCCCATTTACAACGAACCAGTCCTGCATTTGAATCATAGTTCATAAATAATTTTTACTCTTCATGACCTCTTAAGAAACTTATTTCACACACTACAAAGAGAAGCGTCCTAAGAAAGTTATATATTCACTACCCAGGCATAAGAAACATAATAGTGGAGGAAAAACTAAACCTTTATTTTTTAAAACTGAACCACTAGGAAAATATATCACAGCCTTGAAACACCAAACACAGGCTATATTATCATTTCAAGTAATAAGCTGGTAAAAAGACAGTAAGGTCCTTATCAAAATGAAAAGATGCTAGAGCTGGGGCAGGAACACTGCTTGCTGCAAAGGCCCCAGGCAAAAGTGGTATTTGGTAATAGGGGCTTGCCCCTCTTTTCCTTTAAAGGAATCACAGCTCACCCCTGATTGCCTACTTTTTCTCCATTGACCTTCCTGTTGCCAAGGGATTGTCTCAATAGGGCTCTGTTATTTCAGGGGGCAAAATAAGCAATACTGAGTTTAGGCCTTCATTCCATTCTGTTCTATAAAAACCAGGTTTTTCCACATCCAGTATTTAATAACTCTCACAATTAAGAAGACAACAGTTCCTCCTTCAATGTTCATTCATGGATACTGGTATATAGTGCAATAAAAACCCCCTTTCCCTTCAAGGGAGAGTGTCACTTCCGAGATTGTCTTGTTGCTCTTCTGCAGATAGCCTCAGGGCCCATCATGGCAGCCAGTGAGAGGGAAAGTCCGCTTCCCATACCCAGTGTAACATCGCTTGTCATGTTTTTACAGGGTCTCCTAGCTGAAAGATATAATGTATATTTCAAGAAATGTATATCCACATCTTGATGGCCAGGAAGAGATATCCACAAGAACTGTTCAAAGTTCTTATCTGACTACCTCTCCCAACTCCACATCTTAAATCAACCTCATGCCCTTGTATATAAAACAAAACCAAGCAAAACAAAGACCCAGAAACCTTTTTTCCCTTCTAAATTAGTAACCTTGTGGATTTTGTTTTACAGCTTATAGAAAACGATTTGATGATCCTTCTGGTAAACAGGAGGTTGGCAACAAACAGAAACACCTCTGCTTATACCACCAAATCATAGGCAGGTTAGAGGAACCTGCCAGCCTGCTGGTAGCTGTGTACTGAGAACAACCTGGTATCTTGGAAGGCTCTGGCTTGGTACAAGGAATCCCTAGAGCCAGGCCAAGCACATGAAATTTAGGCTATCAAAAACTTTCCTGTGACCATCTCTAACCCAAATTTTAGCACCAGTTTTTTCCATTTCACTTTCTAGGGTTGAAACATAAAGGAACCAGTATCCAGAGGCAAGTGACACATGCCTCACACTTGCTGCCATCCTTAATTTCTTCATGAACTTCACTTAAAAGACAAAAACTCCCATTTCTTTTTAAATAGATTCCTGCTGGTCAGCCCTGATGGCCAATTGCAAAGACTTCTATTTCCCAATGGACAAGAGAGACTCCTTCATCTTCTTGGTCATGGTCGGGATGAGGTGCATGTGGTCATCCACACACTTGGTCACACAACTCTCCAGCTGCCGTTTCACCTGAAGCTCTTTACTTCCCGCATCTATTGAATCTTTGGCTTTGTCATTGCAATGCATGGTGCATCGGGCCAGGCGGTCCTGTGGCAAGAAGGAAAAGGGCAGAGAAGGCTGAAAGGCTGGCCTCCATTTACCAAGTGCTTACCATGTGCTAGGCCCCTTTCTACATATTTCGGCCTCACATATATAATCTTGATCAATTAAAGGGACACTATAGTGCAATTAATCAAGATTATCCTGACTGAAATAGAGGGTGGCACCAGGAGGGTCCAGACAAAGCATGACAAGAAAGCAATGAATGATAGAATAAATTATACAGAAGCCCCCTGCAGAAGTGGGAAGTAACTAGAGGCTACCGTTGGTCAGCTATAGTTAAGACTTACATTTTGATTCTTTAATGTCTGTCCTTGCTACAGAAAAACACTCAAAAAATATTTATTGAGTATCTACTATGTGTCAGGTACTCTTCTAATGCTGGGGAATACCGCAATGAGTAAAACATAAAGTTCTTGCCCTCATAGAACTTACATTCCAATGAGGGGAGTTAGACAAAATGGGGGGAGATGTTGAAGAAGCAGTTAGATATATGAATCTGAGTGAATTTGGTCTAGAGATACGAATGAATGTAGGAGTTGTCAGCCTATAGATGTTATTTATTACAGATATTTGTAGCTATGAGACTAGAGAATTAAATCAAAAAAGGCCCAAGGACAGCGCTAGCACTCCGATGCTCACAGGCTGGAGGGGAAGAGCAGGAAAGGAGGCCAAGAAAGGACAGCCAGGGAGAGAGGTGGGAAACCACAGAGTGAGGTGTCTTGGTGCCCAACTGAACAAACTGTTTCAGGAGGAAAGTGATCACTGCGTCAGCGATGCAGACAGGCTGAGTAAGATAAGGGATGAGAAATGACCACCGGATTTAGCTCCACGGAGGGGAGTGGCCAGCGCAGCTCTGGCGGAGTAGAAGAGTAAGTCTAATTAGAGAGGACTACAAAGTGAACAGAAGGAAAAAGTTATATAGCAATTCAAGAATCAAAATGTCAAAGACCCTATCACGAAAATTAGCTGTCAAAATGAACACAAAGAAACCTCTGTGGGTTCAGGATCTTGGATAAGTTTGTCCTTCACAGTGTCAGTAATTTTGAAGAATTCCGTAGAGCAGAATGTAAAAATTGTATATTAGATACAATTTGTCCCATGTGAACAGGATCTCAGGCTATGGAAAACTGGTTCAGAAGTGGGCTCTGCTTTCTCTGGCTCCAGGAAGGTACAGTCATAGGAAGGGAATAAAATGAAGTTGTGGCTATCCTTTTCTCCAGAAAGAGATCCAATGGATACCTTTTGCTCTTAGTGACCTCAGAGGGGCTTGTGAGGAAGACATCAGTGAGTCAGTATTACTAATACTTCATATAAATGACTGTTCTTTAGTGACACAGGAGCTGCCCTCTAGGTATAGCAAACAGGGGTGGTTCTGGGTGGGCAAGTCCACAACATGACGGAAGGATATTGTGCTAATCTGCACCTCTTTATGACTAGCCTACTCCACTTTCCTGGGGATTCTACTAGTCTAAGAATGAATTAATATGTGTCTTAGAAAGCTTTATACTATACGGTATATCTATTTCATGTCTATGGGGGGAAAAGGCTCTTGGTCATGAACTCCTTTTTACATCATTTCTTCTATGGGGAATACTTATAGCACTCAACCTCCAGGAGTTTTCCCCCAAATTTCAAACCCTGTGAAGACTGGCTGGCCACAGGACTGTCACAAATGTTAAAAGAACCAAGATATTAGAGCCAAGAGTTTTGAACAAATGCTTGTCATCTCTTGCAAAAGAGCAACACCAAGGCCTGACGTCCTCTGCTTGGGATATTTCTCACCTGGAACTTCTCCAACTCACTGGTCACCAAGGCCTGAGCTTGAGCCAGAGGCGCGTGGCAGCGTTCAATGCACTGATGCACCTGCTGCATGGAGGCCTGGCTGTCCTCACAGCAGCTGGCACTGCACCGGAACATGAGGCCCTGGGGAGGGAGGGCAGAGAGAGAGAGAGGTTAGGCAGGAAAGCCTCTGGGGCAGAGATAACCATGGAGTGCAACAGAGGAGCATCTATATTTGCACCTCTCCTAACAGACACCAAGAACCTAAAACCACAAATGGGAAAATTATCCCCGAAGCCCAGCAGAAGATTTCACGGCCTTCTTGCTGCTAGCTCATTGGCACTTGGTGCATCGAAGGCTGGGGTGGACGGAGAAGGTGGGGGTGGGTCTGATGAAGTCAAATTCTGAAAACCAGGTACCTATACCACAGGGTTCAGAGGTCAGCAACCTAGTAATGTACTTTCCACCAGGGGGCAACCGATCCATTATCAATGACCCAAGAAGCACTACAACAGAAACCCCACAATTTGGTTAAGAGAGGCAGGACCAACAGCCACATACCATTTAAGGGATCAAAGCACAACGGCATATAAAGCAGCACTGTGTGGAGCAGACACTAAAACGGGCATGACACGGCCACTGAGGAAGCCAAGCGCTTTTGCCTTTCCGGTGTTTCACCTTGGCCGTGCCCTTTCAGGGCCTCGGTCCGCTCACCTGCGGAAGGGGCAGCACAAGACAGGAAGAGGGGGAGGCCGAACGCCTCGCACTAGGGACTTTCTAACGCTGGTCCAGGGTCTAACAGCCCCTCCCCGGAGCTGGCCTGGGGGGAAAACGGCTTCGCGCGTGGGGAGGGAGCACAGATTTCATTCTCTCAGCGGAAGCTCCACGAGTTCTGAGGGTGAGAGGTGCTTCCGAGGGGGCCGCGGCGACCCCAGGGACGCCCCGACTCGGGTCTGCAGGGAGGCGGGCAGCAGCGCGCCGCGGCTGCGAGAAGGGAATCGCGGGCTGCCGGGACTCCGCGCCATGACCCCCGCCCGCTACCTGCATCTTCCTGATGTTCTCTCTTTCCAGACTCTTCACCATGGAGTCCACCGCCTCCTGTACCCGCAGCTGCTGCATCTCCGCCATGGCGATCCCGCGCCTCACCCACTCCGCGCCGGCGCCCACATGGAGTCCCGCGCTCGGCCCGCCCTCTTGCTGCGGCTGCCAGGGTCACCGCCACGCTTCCCCGCCCACGCCGCCGCCTGGCGCCGGAGAGGAAGAACTGCATGCGCCCGCCGCGCCCCGCGCCCCGCCTCTCCATCGGGCTCGCAGGCGTCTGCCCCTCCTCCCCTCGTGGCCCCGCCCCGCACGCCCGGCTAAGCCTGAGCCCCGATGGGGCTGGAGGGGGCGCTGGGACTCACTGTCTCCTCTCTCCTTCCCTGTCTTCCTTCAGTCTTAAAAAATATTTAATCTGATTAACATCCAGATCAAAGCGCAGATTTTAGGTATATAGCTCTAGGAGTTTTAACAAACTTGCCCTTTCGTAGTCAATCTCCACCCTTTCTTCCCCTACTCCCCCACCCTGACCCCAGGCGATCAATTGATCTGCTGTTACTACAGATTAAATTTTCCCTCTCCGTAATTTCATATATGTATGTACAGTCGACCCTTGGACAATGTGGGGTTAATGTGGGATTAGGGAACCTGACCCCCACCCCAGTGGAAGATCCCCACATAACTTTTTTTTTTTTTAAAGATTTTATTTATTCGACAGAGAGCGAGAGAGGGAACACAAGCAGGGGGGGAGTGGGAGAGGGAGAAGCAGGCTTCCCGCTAAGTAGGGACCCTGACGCCCTGGGATCATGACCTGAGCCAAAGGCAGATACTTAACGACTGAGCCACCCAGGTGCTCCCCATATAACTTTTGAATCCCCCCAAACTTAAACTAATAGCTTACTGTTGACCAGAAGCCTTACTGATAACAGTCGATTAATATATTTTGCATGTTTTATATATTATATACTATATTCTTATAATAAAGTAAGCTAGAGAAAAGAAAATATTAAGAAAATCGTAAGAAAATACATTTATACTACTGTACCGTGTGTATTGAAAAAAATCCCTATTTAAGTGACAGGTGCAGTTCAAACCCATATTGTTCAGGGGTCAATTGTACATGTGTTTTTAAGGTTGTGTCCCTCTTACACTGCTTTAGCTACTCTCACAAGTTTTGAATATAATATGTTCAAACATTTTCTAATTTCCATTACAAATTCTTCTTTGATTCATGGATTATTTAGAAAGGCACCTCTTAATTTCCAAGCATATGGATATTTTTAAGATAACTTTTTTTAAAAAGATTTTTATTTATTTGACAGAGAGAGAAACAGCGAGAGAGGGAACACAAGCAAGGGGAGGGGGAGAGGGAGAAGCAGGCTTCCCGCGGAGCAGGGAGCCCGATGCCGGGCTCGATCCCAGGACCCTGGCATCATGAACTGAGCCGAAGGCAGATGCTCAACGACTGAGCCACCCAGGTGCCCCGAAGATAACTTTTCCTATCAGTCGGAGAGGCGACCGAATTACGGTTACCAAACATACTCTGTCTTTTGAAATTTGTTGAAACTTGCTTTAGGACCTCAAAGACTTTTCTGACTGCCTACTTCCCCACCCCCATATGCTCCTCTGTCATGCATTCCCTTAGCATCCCGTACTTAACCTGTGACAGTGCTCATCACTACTGCTCATTACTTGTCCTGTGTTCTTTTTTCTTTTTTTCTAGAGTAAAACCTCTTTGAGGACAAGGACCACGTTTATCTTTTTCATCGTTCTTCCTAAATTCTTTGCTTAGTGTCTGGCGTATACTAAGCCATTACTAAAGGTTTGTCTAATGAATGAATAATTTATTTCATTATAGAAGTAATTAATCAAAAATATTGGAAACCAGACAAAAGCAATAATAGAGAAATTAAAAATTTTAAATCCATAAATACTACCCTACTATTTTAAATGCCATTGTTGGCATTTTTCTTAAATTTTTTGGATTGAACATGATAAACATTTATTTCTCATAAATCAGCTGAAGTTCAGCTCATGCGGCAGCTCCAGGACTCCAGTCTAGTTCTAGTTGTGCTGCTGTCTCCAAGAGCCACACCCTCCTCTGCATGGTCCTGATTTCTTTCTTTCCAGTCCCTTTTCCTATGTGGATTTTTTTTTAAACACTGAAGTAATAGAATATATATATTTTGATATCTTGCTTTTAAATTATAAGTACTTTCATGTCATTATGTACAAATAAAGGGAAACGTAGCATGTGGCTAATGATCAATGTTAGGGAGAAGACTGAAATTATAATACAAATGAAAACACTCGAGTTAAGTCCTGGGATGGGGGCTGGTAAAACCCCAGATGGTGAAGCAATCCAAGAGCTGAGGGGACACATCTAAATTTGTAGAACCCTAGGATGGTGACCAGAATCCAGAGAGATGACTGCATGGTAGGTCCAGGTAGAGAGGGCCTCAGGAAACCCTGAGAATATCTCTTTCCCATGGCCCAAGATAGGAGTTACCTAATGATCTCTCAGCAGTGGGGAGAAGCATAGAGCCCGAAAGTAGAGAGGCAGAGCTGGACCTGGACAAATCTTGTCACCTTGACTTTGGACTTCTGGCCTCCAGAACTGTGAGACATTTCTGTTGTTTTAGGCCACCCAATTTGTTGTGCTTTGTTACAGTAGCCCTAGGAAATGAATGCACATGTGAAATAATATTCAGCATCACTAAAAATTTAAGAAATAAAAAACATCAGTGTTTTTTATAGTACTGTTAAATTTGTTAGATATCAGGTTAAAACCAATCGTAGGTAAGAATGAGAGAAGGGGCGCCTGGGTGGCTCAGTTGGCTGAGCATCCAACTCTTGGTTTCAGCTCAGGTCGTGATCTCAGGATCCTGAGATTGAGCCCCTTGTGGGGTTCTACACTCAGCGGGGGGTCTCCTTAAGACTCTCTCTCTCTCCCTCTGCCTGCCCCCCCATGCTTATGTGTGTGCGCACATGGTCTCTCACATAAACACATCTTAAAAAAAGAGAATGAGAGGAGAAAAGAACAATCATACAAGGTAATGATGTAATGATGTGAATGGTGGTGGGGACTTAGCTGTAGGGTAAGGCTATTGGCAATATATATAAGCCATAAATATATAAAAACCCCTTGACTCAACAATTCCATTTAAAGGAGGAACGTAGGGAAATAATGTTTGGAAAGACATGAATAAGTAGGTTTACTACGGCATTTACAATAGTCATATTTGGAAGCAAGTAAATGTGTAACAGGAAACTGATTAAATAATTAATAAAAGTACCATGAAATGGAGTGCCCTGCAGGCACAAAGCATAATGCTGTAGGAGTATTTTTAGTGACATGAAGAGATGTATGTTCCATTTGATTGGGGGAAGAAATCAAGTGACAAAGGAGTGTACATCATGATTATATATGTATATATATATGAAAATTTGAAGAATTATACAATAAAATGTTAAGGTTTGTTATATATTGGTGATGGGATTATAACTGATTATAATTTTCTTCTGAGTATTTACATGGAGTTTCTAAGTTCTCTGCAATTAATGTGTCTCTCTTGGTTATGTAAAAAGTCTCTCAAAAAAAATTCTCTCAAGTTAAAACATTTCATCATAATCGATAAGCAAGAGAGCAAGGATTGATTAGCTCAGGTAATATTGCAGCTCACTCAGCAACACTTTAAAATTATTATTATATTTGGGGTGCCTGGGTGGCTCAGTCGTTAAGTGTCTGCCTTCGGCTCAGGTCATGGTCCCAGGGTCCTGGGATGGAGCCTCACGTCTGGGCTCCCTGCTCAGCGGGGAGTCTGCTTCTCCCTCCCCCTCTGCCTGCCGCTCCCCGTGCTTGTGCTCCCTATCTCTCTGTCAAATAAATAACATCTTTATAAAAATAAAATTATTATTTTTATTATTAGGTACTTTCCCCATAAAGACTTAAGGTCATGTAACTGCCCAGATATGCTCTTTGGACACAAGGTTAGCATGGGAAAGCTCACTACATGGCCGCTGGTGCTACGGATTTCTGTTTTCATGCCGACAGGTTGGCCTGTCTGTAACCATAGCTGTGCCCAGATTGCCGTAATGACAGCCTTGCCTCACCCAGCTTCCTGAGCGGACGCATTCCTTCCTCCTTGGATCACAGAATGCTATTCTGATTCCTGAAGGTGTGGCCAATCCTAGCTTAGTACCTGCTTGCTGAGGACCCGCCCTGACTCACTCGATCTTCCGATCTTCCGTACCAACATTCTGATTGCTACCATGGGATTTTATTTTATTTTATTTTCTCAGCTCCTTCAACTTGAAGAAAACACCCTCCTACTCACTTCTCCTGCTGTCCTGCCCATGTAAATCCCTCTAAGGTTTAACAGAATTTTCTTTCCTCTGTAACTTTGGAAAGGCAGGTGACCTGGTGTGTGGCAGGTTTAATGGAATTGCCAGAGTACACAAAATATTTCTGATAGACGTATCCTGGTCACGTGTTTACAGTAGTTAATCATGAGGATCTGCTGTTAACCCCTCCATAGATACATGTGCACACATGCACATAAACACACACACAACTATGTAAAGAACTATAAAGCACCCTATAATTGTTATCTTATTATCAGGGATGCTTTGGGCTCACTTTTTAAAAATTTAATTTTATTTTTTTTAAAGATTTTATTTATTTATTTATTTGACACAGAGAGAGAGTACAAGCAGGGGAACAGCAGAGGGAGAGGGAGAAGCAGGTTTCCTGCTGAGCAAGGAACCTGATGTGGCACTCGATCACAGGACCCTGGGATCATGACCTGAGCCAAAGGCAGACGCTTAACCGACTGAGCCACCCAGGTGCCCCTGGGCTCACTTTTCACTTTTTTTTTTTTTAAAGATTTTATTTATTTACTTATTTGAGAGAGAGAATGAGAGAGAGAGAGAGCATGAGAGGGGGGAGGGTCAGAGGGAGAAGCAGACTCCCCACTGAGCAGGGAGCCCGATGCGGGACTCGATCCCGGCACTCCAGGATCATGACCTGGGCCGAAGGCAGTCGCTTAACCGACTGAGCCACCCAGGCGCCCTCACTTTGATTCTTTTGAGCCTATCAATGAAGTAGAAATAAAAGCATAAGGACAGACATAGGAGTAGCTTTTCCTC